CTGCAAGGCATCTTCCCCCCCACACCGAGACTGTCTTTTCTCAAATGGTTCCTCTTACATGAATAAAGACGTGCCAGAGGGGGATTGGGACTTGAAGGTGCCATCTTCTTTCTACTCAGGGTGATGTTTCTTACTAGAAGAATGGCAAACTGGTCTCATTTCTCTAGGATTTTCTAACTGCAGCCTCTAGCCTTCCATAATTTGCAGACTCCATTTCCACTGTATTGAGCATTTTGTGGAGATGGCCCTCTTATCTTAGAAAAATCCAAATGCCATGATGACTCTGGATGGATGCTGGGAAATACTAACACTTTTAAGAGAAGGACCATCTCCTGTTTTGAATTCCCAAAGATAGATTATGCTGGTGCAGTCTGCACAAAGTCTACTTCCATTCACCGGGAAGTCAGATTTTGTTTGACTTCAGCCTTTCTTCAGAAAATTGAGGAGATTGAGCACTCTAATGATGAGTTTGACTTTGAAGTCAACAGTGGCCACTTTGACTTTAGGGTTGGTAGAACAGTCCTCTTGTGATGGATGAATGGATGATAAGACACTGTATCCCACAAAAAGCTAGACGAAAACTATCCAGATTTTTTTTGGTTTTTACCACTGTTAGTAACATGCATCAGTATTAGTAACATAATGCTACCAACTGGTGCAAAATGCATTTAACTCTGGCTAGAAGCTGAAGTTTGGTTATGCTTAGGTACTGTAAATGTCTCTGTCAATATTACTCTTCTATGTCTTAGTTTTCCAAAGGATAAGATATTTATACTAGTGCACCTTTCTCAAACTTTTTGGAAAACTTGTTTCATCCTTGATCTGAAATGGGTTAAAAAAGGTACAGAAAATTCTGTAAATGTGGCCTTTAAAATATTTCAGGAATTAGTGAATTAGTGAATTCTTTCTACATTTTGGTTACAAGAAGCATAGGAATACAAAGCTTAACTCGCCCATACATTTGAACACTACTTATGAGCAGTGCTTCCATAGCATTGATGAGAAATATTTTTCACATATATTTACCATATTGGTTGTGATGATTGAAGCACTTGAAGAGAGAGAATCTTAATAAAACACTGGCTCATTTCAACCAACAGAAACCTATATTAAATGAAAACTTAACTTCTACAGAAATTGAAGGCTTTAGATTCTTCAGGAAAATCTGCTGTTTGATACTGAAATGTTGGGGGTGTGATCTTCTTGAGTCCTGTAATAAATGATTGACTGCGGAATGATCATATTTTGTAAGTGGACTGGATTAGGTCACTTGTAATTTTTGTAAATTTGTAATTTGAGAGCAGTGGCTTGTCTAAATCTGCAGTTATTTGGTCTCCAGTAACAGACATTTTATAGCCCACATCCAGTCACAATTGAGATAGGGTAGCTTGCCAGCAATTAGTTACTTCTTTGTAATTAAGGAGCCACAAATAATGTTCCTTTTGGTGTGTTGAGAGTTGAACTTTCGTAGCACTTTTAGAGTACATGAATTCAAAAAGAAAACAGCCTGAGACTATAGTTAGTTTTAGTTAAGCGGATGAGAAGTTCTGAATTTTCATCCTGTGGATAAGCACTTTCATAACACCAAAGTGGAAAAAAAAAATCTTTGTTTATTTTTTTCAGTACAGTTGTTAAATAGCAGAGTAAAAATACATTCACATCTTTTTTTTTAAACTGAATGCTTGTAATGTTGTTGGAGTTGGAAAAGATTTTTAACTAGTGAAAGGCCTGATTTTTTTTTATTTTTTTTTTTTATTTTGTCTAAACAGCTTGTGGTCGATAGGTGCCCAATTTAGATTGGAATATCTCAGATGCTAGTGCTTACAAATCTTCTTGGTTCTAGTTAGTTTCTGATATGAAACATGCCTTTTTCTGACAACAGTTTATGCAGATTACTGCTTTTGTCCTTGGCAATGTATGAAAAATAATCAATCATTGATCTTCTTACGTATTTATAGAAACACAGCTTCTTCATAGTGACCTTTTTCGATTTGCCTGTTTCTTTTAACTTTAGTCTCTCTCCTCTGAACTTGTTAATTTCCCTGGTATGATATTTCCTTGCAAACAACTTGTCCCCAAGTAAAATATGCACCTTGTTTTTTGGAAGGCATAGTGTAAGGAAAAAAATACGATTTCCAGAGTCATAGCTGACTGTGTGACATAGAATAAGTCCTCCTGGGAACATAATGTTTCCCTTGTATGACAGGAAGTTCCTGCTGACTCACCCAGACTGTCTCCTAGGATGCCACATCTTTCTGGGCACACTGTATTCCAAGGAGGACATACTTGATGTCACACAAGGTTAGGCCCCAGACCCTTGCAAGGGCAGTAGCAAGACTGTTAGTTCTTTACTGTAAGTAGCTCTTTATATAAGTAAATAAAATGTTGTTTCCACATCACAAGCCTTATCAAGGTACCTACTGGTAGCTCACTTGGTGATGCTTCAGGCACAAGCTGCAATACTCAGGTAATAGCTATGGGTATGAGAGGGTAAACACAAGACTCCTGTCATCTTGGCAGTTTCATGGTATGCACTTGTGGCACGTGCTTTTTTCCCAGCGAAGAAAACAAGTTACCCTCTTAAAACATGCACCATATTTGAGGGGAGGGAAGGTGCATTTTGTATGTGAGAAAATATGATATTTTTCCAGTTTGTCCATATTTATTTTTTAAATACAGTGCTTAAAGGGGAGCGAACTACTCCATTTGAGATTAAACAATGCTAAAAAGTGGAGAATAAAATGCTTAACACAACAGTTATTATGATGGGGTCCATGGGCTGTCATTAGTCCACAAAACACTTTGAGTGGTCTGTAGAGATCTTGCTGATCAGGTGGTGCTTTTTTTCTTATTTCCTGCTACTCCATCATATTAGACAGCTAAACTATGTTGTGTTTGTTTTTTTCTACTATTAGAATGAATGTTCCATGTAAGCAATTGCTATTATTGCCACAAGGGTGCGATGTCATGGTGGTCTAAGTGCAAATGAGACTAGAGGGAGAAGCTCACAAGATGCAAGTTTTTTGTTCATTCTTAAATTTGAACTTTAAGTTAACAAAGTTAAATTACTGAAAGCACTAAAATATTTTAAGGCACCATTAGGTTGTTAATAGAATTTGTATATATCAAACAGGTCAGCAAAAAGAAAAGATTAAAAAGTAATTTAGTTTATCTTGTGTATTGTTTTACTGTTGTCTTGGCCTTACTATTGACAAGTGAATCGCATTCATTTACGTATATAACAAATTTGAGAACTTTATGTAGCTAAGTATATCTGATCCTTTATTTTTGGACACGTGCTAATGATGCACGATGATAATGCAGTGTCATAAATTGGTTTTGATGCTCTTTTCTTCAGCAGTGGGTTCTTGTCTGAATATTTTCCATTTAATTTCACACAATATTTTTGTACCAAGGAAATGACAAAAAATACTCTGTGGGTGTTTTGTTTCTTTGGTCAGGGAACAAATGAAAATTGTCTAGGTTTTTTGTTTTAGTATTAAATTGACTCCAATTATTGTTAGCCATGACAGTGCTGATCATCTGACATTCTCTGAAAGAACTGGATATTTCTAAATGTCAATGCCTGCTGGGAGGGAGATGTTTGGTACAAGCACAATTTCCTCTATGGCTAATGCTTTTCAGCACCAGGTCTGAATTTGTGTGCCAACTTCTAATTTTGGCGAAAGTTATGTTTTTATGTTCTAATTCATTAAGTTTTCCTCTAAACCGCCTATGTCTGTTTACCTCTGCTCATGTCCTTTCTTGTTACTGACATCCTTTTCCAGCCAATGATTTAATTGAACTAGGAATTAATTTTACAAATTTCTTAACTTTTTGATGCATACATTGATATTTGTTGGCTCATCCTTATCCTTAATCAGACACAGAGGGACTTTGTGAATATATTACTTGTTTAATTCTTTCATGAACCTCCATGCATGCATGGCTTGATTTACCTTTGTCAACAGGGTAACTTGTTCTGCACTTTTTTGAAAAGGAACAAGGGAGTTTTAGCTAAAAATATATCAAAATGCCACAGAAGTCATGGCTGCAACTCAAAAATGCTGATCAGTTTTGAAAATCTAAATCAACCCCGTCCATGAATCCTACGGAAGAACTTCTGTGGTAGGAGAAAGATTTCCAGAAATTTACCACAGTCTTGTTCTAAGTTGGAGTTTGTGCTGATGTTGCCAGAAAACTAAGAAGTGATGGGAAAAGCAGGAAACATTATTGAATTCAGCCGCATTGCCAATTTGGAAAAGCAACTCTAAATGTAAAAATGTTTTTTCCATTTCTGGCTTATGTGTACAATGCTTCAGAACACAGGGTAGATATAAATTTTACTTTAAAAAGGCACTATTCTTTTTATAATTTTATGATAAAATTCACCAGATCTTATTATCAATAAAGGCAATTTTTCACTTCGGAAGAATGTGCTGGTCTGTGATAAAATGTATAGAATTGTATGTGGTTTTGCGATGGTGGTTGTCAGTCCAATGCTCAAGTGACTAGCTCAGTTGGCAGCCTTCAGTACTGTGTGGATGGTGGATTAATTTGCTGTGGACTTGCCTGCTGAGCCTAGTAACAAAAGACAGAACCACTTTTAAGATGGCTCTGCTAACTTTTATTGAATTGATAGCGGTTAGAGAATAGAGCTGGACAGCTCTAAACCTTCACTTCTTTTAGGGTTCTCCATTCTTGTATCCCACAGGATTCAGTGTTATCACTGGTATTCTTCCTTATAAAGGAAACTTAAGAAAAAGTAGCTTCCTTTGTCTTTTGCTGTCCATTTTGTTGTACTCATTTCCCTTAAATACAGAGTCTGTCATAGTTGGTCATCCCTTTGTCTCCTCAAAGCTTGACTTCTATAACATATTCTACTTGAGGATATTTTTGAAGTCTGCTTGAAATATTTTGCTATGCAGACTGTTATACCCAGCCAATGATTGCTAAGAGCTTTGAATTTTTGATCAGTATTATTGTATGTTGTTTTCTAGGTGCCAACTAGGAGAATGGATGATGATGATTTTGGAGGTTTTGAGGTATGTCATATTTTTACGTTTGTTGAAAAAAATGGATTAAAAAAATGTTTTGAAAGCACATCATTTGAGAGGCTTGATAGAGATTATATTTAGTAGTAGTACAGTTGTTAAAATGAAGTTGGACCAAGTTGTCAAAGTTAAAGCAAAATTTACCACACGTGTATTTAATAATCGGAGGGGGGGATTTTTTCTGGGTAAGTGAGAAATTGGGTTTTCTCAGCAGCTACAGAAATCAGACCACTCCACTTATATGTCTGTGTTTCAATATCTAAGATTAGATATTCATATTTGAAAAATGTGGAGTAGGTTTTAATATGATATCTGATTACTTCTGTTGCCTGATAAGTGTAATATACTCCTTTCTGTGCATCAGGTGTCTTGTTTTTAATTTAAAATTGTGAAAATGTAAGATTTTAAAATGCTTCTTCAGTTAGGAACTGGAATTTCTTTGGAAGCCATTTATATGTGAATTTCTTTCCTTTCTTGTTTTCATGCTTCCATGTTTTAACTGTACCATAAAGTAGTGGATGCTCATTAGAGTAGGTCAGATACTCCAGAAAAAAAATGTTCTTTTTATTTTAGTAACACTAATGCAATACATTGATAATGGAATACATTTGAAAAATCTGTCCTAGTGGTAAACATGGTCATTAGAAAGTACCTCCTGGAAAGCCTGTGTCTAAAACTCTTAAAATATTTTCCATATTTCTAGGCAGCAGAAACCTTTGAAGGTGGAGATGGTGAAACACAGACTACATCTCCTGCTATTCCTTGGGCAGCGTTTCCCACAGGTATTGGTAATGACTAATCCAAGTTCATCTCTTTTGCAGATGACTTCCCCTGCTCTCAGGCATTTTCAATAAAGCAGTGGTTGCTACTTTGATAATAGTGTAAACATGGCATGCTGGTATGATTCTCTGTTCTGTAATTGTTCTGGCATATAGCACAAATATTCTTGAGGAATGGGAGTGAGAAAGAAGACAAAAATGGTTTTTCAATTGTTCACAAACTCTGTGGAATTTCATGGGACAAAGGAAAAACATTTCTCTAGCTTGAGAGCATTCCCCCACATGTACATCAATGGTCTGCTGTAAACAATAGAAGGTTAGAAATCTTCCTTAAGAGATCACAAGAATTCTGTATAATGATTGCTAGTTGCTTCCCCTGTCATAGAAATTTATAAGTATAAATAAATTCTTACTCTAATGCGTGATCCACACAATCATGCCTCCTGCTGTACATGGCAGGAGGCGTGATTTTGGGATCTGGCGTAAGGTCCTATTATGCCTTATTGCCAGTATATATGCACTGTAAAATAGGGTACTTGCAGCCCCAACTGTGCCCCAGATGCAACCAGCACTGTGAATCCTGCAGCTGATGGGACTCACAGTCCTGCATGCAAGTAGGGCACACCCAGGACTCTGAATCACATCAGCTGTGGGACCACGATCTCCTGGCCATGGGGAGCATGGTAGGTATTCTGTAGCTGGGAGATTGCAGTTGCTCTGATCTCCCAGTTGTGGGGTGCATGGAGCACCCGCATTGATGGGAGATCACAGATGCTAGTCGAGATGCCACCATGCACCCTTAGGGTTGCGAGATCACAGCCATGCTCTCCTGGGACCCAGAGTTCTTCAGCTGACAGGCACTGCAAGGACTGAGAGTCCCCTCAGCTCTGGGATTCCTAGTCGTGGTTGCCATGGCACATCCTGTGGCTGGGAACCCAGCCAGCTGATAGGGTTCCTAGCAGTAGGGCAGAGCCTGGTACACATGCAGATTAAAGGGGGATAGCAACCAGTTATAAAGTTAGTATGTATTTTTGAGGTCTAACTTCAAAAGCTGGTTGGACCCTTTTATGGTGTGATATAGGTACTTTGCATGTGTAGCTGGTCTCAGTTTAATTGTGCAGTTATCCAGTTAATTGCACAATAGTTGTAAAGTATAGAGTGAGCCTGAGTTTCACCATCTCATTCTAGCCTACCTATCTGTTATCTGTTTTCTAAAGTGTAATTAAGGCCAAACATTACACCTATATACCTTAATTTTAAATCATATTTAAAAGTTTTTTGTGATTTATGCAAAACTGAATGTTCTAAGGTTGGTTGTTATACTGGTTTAAACAATGTTTTAGAATTAAGAAAACCCTTTTATTTGAGTGTAATATTACAAATTGAAACTCTCAATTCTATTTTTTATGTCTACTGTACCATTTCTAGTGCAAGTATACCCCTACAAAAATTTAATGAATAAAGTGAATTTTAGCAATAGGCAAGATTTTAAAAGAGTAATATCTTTGTAGGTAATGCCTTGTAACTTTAATTTTATAAAATAGAGAAATGGGCAGTCTATCTGCCCTAGGCTTTTTTTGGATATAATTCTTTTTGCACATCCTGTTTATGTTCCCATCAATTGCTCTCAAGCCTTTCTTAAAATTAAATACCATGTCCTCTGATGTTCCAATGTGTTTTCATGAATTAATCTTCACTGGACAAGGTGTGCATGTAAGTAGTTACCATCAATTTCTTGCATATAGTATCTTTGCAAAAATTAAAGTTGAACTTGGACCAACATTTTCCCCTTTTCCCTCAGGCTCTGCCTATTGATGAACAGCATGATAGAATATATGTTTCAGTAAAATAGTGTTCTTTTCAAGGATCAGGTTTAAGAGGTTTTTAAATGGTAACACCTTATAAAAGTTATCACTCATTTTCATTCAAAAGAGGAGAGACAGTTAAGAATTTACATGATGGTAGGTGGAATAACATGTTTTCCTATTTTGTCCCCAGACTGAGCACTTGTATTCCAGGTTTAATTTATGATGGATTAGGATAACTGTGAGTATAGTGATGTTTTTGGCTCTTTTTAGACAAAGGTAAAGATAACAATGCGAGTCCACATTTTATTTTTCCATGTAGTTTTCTTTGAGTAAGGTGTAGTGTTAAGGGATTATTTGTATTACTTTGACTTGTAGTGGAGGCAGAGCTACATTAGATAATTGTTTTAGTATTATGGTAGTCTGCAGAAGTTACTTTCAGGATATGAGTCGTGTTGGATGCTATGTAAGCACAGAAGTAAAAAACAAACAAACAAAACAGGCCTTGCCCTGCAGATTTTAAATTTTAAGAAAAGGAACTTCACAAATGTCATGAAGAAATTAATGAGAGAATATTAGAAAAAATAATACTGCACATGTGTAGAGACCAACTGTTCACAATTATGTGTGTCTGCTGATACTTCTCTTAGTGTCTGGAAAACTGCTGGCTGCTCATGCTCTGCTAACTCTGACTGTTTTATTGAGGAAGACACAAAGAGTACTCTTCAGTGTGGTGTCAGTATAAGTAATAGATTTCAGTTCCTTCCTCCTTTCTCTCCAGAGCTCATAAAAAGGAAACACTTATGCAAAAGAACAGCTGCTGTGTGCTGAATGGTTGGACTTCAGAATAAATTTCAATTAAAGGACATAGGAGTATGGAACATAATCTTGACTTCTTATAATTATGTAATCACTCTGAAGGATGTGGGGAGCTATTTGAAAATCAATAGAGTAAGATCTTGCCATTGATTCAATACATGTGATTGTAAGGAGAACAGAAAGGAGCCTTAAACATTGTGTTTATGCTTCAAGATTATTTAGGCAGTATCATTTGAATGAAAATGTGATTCCTGTACTTCTGCCAGTGTCAGAGAGACATGGCTGTATAAGCTATAGTAGATCCCTACTACTTGGACTTAACTCTCAGGCTTCAGTATAATTCAGAAGCTGAGTTGCAAGCTACCATAAACATTTTAAGAAACCTTTGCTGTCTTATAGGCCTTGGCAATTAGGTACTGGAACATACCAGTCTCTCTTCTTCATCTACCCCCGCCTACTAAATAGCTGAACAGGCTTGCGATACAGAACTGATGACTTGTCAGAGATTTAATTTGATTTTCCTTATGCTCTTTATCTTGTAACATTCTGTGCTCCTCTCCATCCTCCTCACTCTTTTAATGTGTAAGCCCACTGTGGGAATTTCGTGCTTGATGGTGAGCAATCAGCAGCCACTCTCCCTCACTCCAGATTACCTTCCTTAATGCTCTCCTGCCATGCCCTGATATTCAAAACAAGAAGGAGAATAAGGAGAGGCGAAGTGTTTGTTACCACTAGTGAGCAGGGTAGCTTACGATTTTTTTTCACAGGGCTCTGCCTCCCTGACACCCTGCCCTTACCACACCAATGTAGGCACCAGCACGTGACCTGTCTCTGGGGCTTGTCTTCTCACGGACAGTGTATTTAGACCTAGTAAACACCCAGCCATCACCTCAGCAATTACCTGGTTTAATTCTTACTTTAATTAGTTGGGGTTTATGCTTCCATTAGGTTCACACTGTCACAACCTCATTTTCTACTTGAGCTGTATCAGTTAACTAATGTCACCTTCTCTGGAGTTCATGCCACAACATCAAATTGTTTCTTTTCCATCCATCCTCTGGATGCTCAGCTCTAAAGTCCGTCAGCATTCCATTAATCAATTCCCCATCAGTCCAGTCAACTAACTGGCCGCAATTCATTTTGCTCATCAATACATTAAATCCAGTGAGGACTGGTTTCTTCTTTAAGCCAATGGGACAGGAGCCCCTCACCCGTGGACTTCTATAGCTTAACCAAGTTCAATATCCTGGACATAAACCCCTTTAAATGTCCACTGTACTGGTCTGGGTAGCCCTTTTCATAGTTTCATAGTTGGTAGGGTCTGAAGGGACCTGAGCAGTTCATCAAGTCCGACCCCCTGTCATGGGCAGGAAAGAATGCTGGGATCAAATGACCCCGGTTAGGTGATTATCTAGTCTCCTTTTGAAGATCCCAAGGTAGGAGCGAGCACCGCTTCCCTTGGAAGTTGGTTCCAGATCCTAGCCACCCTGAGTGTGAAGTAGTGCCTCCTGATGTCTAGCCTGAACTTACTCTCAATCAACTTGTGGCCGTTTTCCTTTATAGAGAGCCACCAGATCCCCTCTCAGCATTCTCTTGTGGAGGTTGAATAGGTTCAGGTCCCGTAGCCTCTCCTCGTAGGGCTTGCCCTGCTGCCACCTTACCATGTGAGTGGCCCTCCTCTGGACCCTCTCAGTGCTGTCCACATCCCTCCTGAAGTGCAGTGCCCAGAATTGGATGCAGTACTCCAACTGTGGCCCGACCAATGTTGCATAGAGGGGAAGGATCACCTCCTTGGATACATGACATCCAAGGAAGTGATCCTCCTGCTTGTGATGCATCTGTGGATCTGTTAGCCTTACTGACCGCATCCTCACATTGACGGCCCATGTTCATCTTGGAATCAGTAATGACTCCAAGATCCCTTTCTGCCTCTGTGCTAACGAGAAAGGAGTTCCCCAGCCTATAGGTATGTTGCTGGTTCTTTCTCCCTAGGTTAGTATCTTCTCACTTGTTAGTATTGAATCCCATCCTATTCTCATCTGCCCAACCCTGTAACGTGTCCAGATCTAGTTGTAGCCTGTCCTTCCCTTCTAGCGTTTTCCTTCACTGTGGCTTTAAGAGTCACCTCTCCTGTGATGCTTGCGGGCTTTCTGTGTCCTGCTTAGCTTTGCTCTGTCTCCAGTCTGTTAGTTTGGTTTCTGTTACCAGTTCTGTACCTCCACACGGCTCCACAAGCTCTGCCTTGCTTGTGCTCCCTCTCTCTGGGGCAAACTTCTGTAGGGCTGGCACAGCCTTATCTTCTGGCCAGGCTCTTCCTGGCCAATAGGAGCTGTCTCCAGGGTCTGATGACCTGGCTTGCCCACGCGTTGGGCACAGAGG